AGACATTTATTCCAACTCCATGTTTAGTTTCTGTTTATGTTTTTGTAGCATGTGTTTTTAATTGGTAAAACTAGAGTGGTTACTGAATTTTAAGCGAGTTAGTTGCAAACAAAACATTATAATTTAAAATAACAGTTTAATCTAAAGGCAGTGTGGGGTGATGGTTCTGGTTTAAGGCCTCTCTCTCTTGCCTTCCCTCCCTTTGTTCTTCCATCCCTCCTCCCCCTCTCTTGTGTACACTCATGGAAGAAAGGCCATATGAGAGGTTACAGTGAAGGTGGCAGTGTGTACAAGTCATCAAGAAAGCTCTCACCAGGAACCGAATCAGCTGGCATTTGATCTTGGACTTCCCATATTTAGAACCATGAGAATTATATTTCTGCTGTTTAAGCCACCCAGTCTTGGTTTCTTGTTATGGAAACCTCGGCTGAAGCCATGTCCCTTTGCTTCTTTGTTCCAAGGTCTCTCCCTGATAAAGGAAGTGAATGGTAAATGTACCACAGGCCAGGTTCTTTAATACCTTCCACTCAATTTTCAATTTCTTTTTTTTTAATTAATGGGAGAGAGACATCTGTTTTATTCTTCTTTCCAAGCAATCTTTCAAGAACAATTTTTTTTCTTTTGATAGCTAAAACTTTCACATGGTTCCAAAATCAAAAGAACACATAAAGTCTCACTTCAACCCTTGACACCATCTTCCCACTTACCTGTCAAATCTAACCATTTTTATTAATTTCTGGTATTTTCTCAATGCACCTTGCTATTTTCACCTAAGAATATCTTGGAGGACTTTCCACATCACTATAAGAGAACTTTCTCATTCTCTTCAATAGAAGAATACTTCCCTGTGGTATGGATTCAATGTATCTGTACTATAATGATACAAGGTTTATAAACAATGCTTTGTAATGTGAGCCTCTCAAAAGGACAATACATCTTTGTGCCATGTGCCTATGCCACTTTATATTCAGGGTCTTCTGTATTCCCAGGACCTTATTTTAATTTTTTATTTGAGGTAAGAACACTTAACATGAATCTACTCTCAACAAGATTTTAAGTGTAATACAGTTATCTAGAGCTTATGCATCTTGCATAACTGAAGCTTTGTAATAGCATTCTCTTAGTTTTTGAACATAAGGCTGTCAACATGGAAATAAACAATAATTTTTCTATAACTTTAAATTCACAGTGACATGATCCTCCACCCCCTTCAAGGAAACTTACAACTTAGCTTCTGGTGTTTTCATGATCATAATGCCTAGAAGACAGTATCATATTTTAACACAAGAGAACAACACTGGTCCAGTGTTCCTACACTTAAATTGATATTGATTACATTGCATAAGAGCTAAAGAACTTATTCTAAATCTGACATATTCCTTTATTCAGCATTAAATATATATAAATTCCCTTTAACCTTAAATAATTGAAAATGTGGTGCCTGGCTGTTTGGATAGAGCAAAGCAGTTAATAGTGCAGGCTTCAGAGTCAGGGAGGTACAGATTCTAATCCAAACTTCATTTGTGACAAAGTAACCCTGTGATCTTGGGTAAATTTGTGTAAGCATTAATTTCCTCATAACTTGAGGATATAGAATTTAGGTCATTGGATTGTGAAGAGGCTCAACTGAGAAACTGTACATAAATCACACCACATAGTGGTTATTCATTAAATGGTAGCTTTCAGTATTATTACCATCATTATTATGTGCATTTATTCTGTAATAGGCTGTGTACTAGATGTTGGGGAACAATGTATATGACACCTTCCTTGCTTTCAAAGGTTGTCCGTGTAGTGGGAAAGGCATACCAGTAAACAAAGAATAACTTTAATACATAACAAAGCAACTACCAATAGACTAAATGCTACCTCCAGGAAAGAAAAACATGTTCTGAAAAGACTTTTTATCTTGAACAAGATAAAAGTGATTGAACCTTCAAGAGATAAAAGGTTCAATCAAGATCATCTCCATTGGAAGAGATACTATATATATCAACTTCAATTTTTACTTGTCAAATAATAGAGGGAAATATACAACAATACAACAATTCAGTAGTCATTTCAATTTGGTGGTAGATTTGGAAGGCTCTTGGATCCTAGAGTATCTTTGAGTCTCAGTAATTTCTTCATATACAGATTAGGGAATAATGTGAATCATCTGACCTTGAGATTTGCTTCTCTTGTTTATTATCAACTCCTTCTCTCCATAAAAGCAAAGTGTGAAAAGTGGGAGGGAGAAGGGTGATTCCTATATTCCTCTTTTAATTTTTAATTTTTTTTGGTGTAACATAACAAATGGGAGTTTGGTTTTGAAACAGTCAAAAATCATTGAGGAAACTACATTTTTTCAAGAGGAGTGAAAAGTGAATGCTTCTTGAAGAGGGTCTGTAAATCCAGAGCTTATTTACTTTGATGAAGGTGCTTAAATGTCAAGAATATTATACCCCTGATTATCACTGCTGACTACTCATCTTGTAAGCCAAAGACTCAAGGTAAGTGAAAAAGATTCCTCTGTGGCTGGTACACGACTTCCCACAACATTCCCAGAACTGTAAGACACCTTTCAGGTATTAAATGTATGAATGACCTATTTGCTTTAAAGAGAGCCATTAGTAGCAGAAAGTGGGCTGCATATCAACAGCACCAGGAAAGGAATTTCAAGCCAGAATCTTTTTTGGAGAGGAGTTACCTCTAAATTCTTAATTGTGCTTCACCAAACAAGTCTCTCGGTAACAATTCTTGCCTAACAGTATGCCGCAATTACGTTATTATTAATCCATAGGTTTATGCGATCAGAAATAGTAAGGTAGGTATCTGTTCGCTGGAAAGAGTTTATTATACCTCTTATTGCCGCTTCATTTCAGTACCAGGAACAGTCACTTATTACTTATTAATTAGGAATTAGAAGTAGAACTCAAAGAAGCATCAAACCCTACGACAAGCAATTTACAGATTTAAAGCAGGTTCAAAAACACTGAGAATATTTTCTATTTGAAACGTTGCAATAAGTCAGTATACGAGACATTCTGGGATATTAAATCTAAAAAGTCACTCCTTTTATACACACATAAATGAAATGCCTCTTTATCCTATAGCATCTCACCATCAAGTTTATTATTTTTCTCCTTCCTGCAGGCTCCCCGTGTTAGCTTTAAGTTCTTGCCTTAAGTGCATTAGAAGCAAAGTCGCGGTGTCCGACAGGCGCACTAGACTTTCTACGCGCGTCTCTGAGTAGCCTCGGACACCAAGGCAAGTTAACGGGAGGGTGATGCCGGCGGTCCCCTGGCTCCAAGGGGCAGCCTCGATGGATGCCTGACTTCCTAAAATAGACAGTTTCTCTCCATCTACGCGTGCTCCAGAGTGGGCTCACACTGAATCCGAAGCAGGTTAATCACTGAAATTGGTAGCTATTGGTCCGCAGAATCCTGGGCGCGGCAACTCTCACCTTTGAACGCTCTCGACCTATTTCTGAGCTGTGAGTAGAGCTGCTAGAGCTGCTATCAACACAAGTCTCATCTTTTGCACCAACTTGTCCTTTTGTTCCACTCTTGCGCCCTCGGCAACCCCACGTTCAGAGTTATGTACGGTCTTCTGGGCAAAGTCTACCGCCTTTCAACTTGAAGTGGACTCCCAGAGCCAGTCAAGAGTCCCTGGTTACAGAAATCTGCCTGGATGGTGACTGTGGCGGAGCGATACTCCCAGCGCCGGCGCAAAGGAACCTGGCATTGTCCCCACGCTGCGCACCTTTGCGTTTTTTCTTCCTGCAGGTCCCAAGCTGTAGAGATTTGCGAGGTTCCCGAGTGATAAACCCGCAGCAATCCTCAGCCTATCCAGACCTTGAGAAGACAGAGTAATGCTCCGCTGGTGTAGTGACCTCGCAGAGTACAAACGCGAACCGTGATAAAAATTAAAAAACCCAGAGGGCAGAAGTTTACTTTCCGTGAGCGATTCCAGCAGCTCTGTGCGGCTAAGACGTAGTCCCGCTGGACGGCGCCTTTCTGCGGAGTTGTGAATGAGCCTGGGGCGATTCTGAGAGCGAAGTCTCTCAGGCGTGGGGCTCCCCAGATGTGCGGCTCCCAGTGGTCCCTCCTGGCTGTCGAGGGAAGAGAAAAGTTGGGACGGGAGATAGCAAGAGACCTGGACTGCTACTCCTGGTTCAAAATCTTGGAAATGGCTGCTAAGGGGGCTAGGTCTCCAGACTCCTCGTCCCTTCCCTTTCTCCAGCTGAGCAGTTCACCTGCTACCGTCCAGTTTACAATATAAGCGTAGAATTAAATTAACCCATTTTCAAAAGCTAGGCGTCACACTTCTCAGGCAGTTCCTCTGGAACAGAATATGCGAGCTTCAGGAGATCTTGCGGGAAATATTAAGAAAGGGATTAGGCGGGAAGGGGTGGGGATGAAAGGGGATTGTATCTAGGAAACGATGTACATATAGGCTCTTCTATTCGAAGGACCACGGGGAGCCCTCAGCTGCCTCGCCGGGTGCAGCAACCACTTAAACGCTCCGGGAGATTAGGTAGTGGCTGCCCTGGAGGGCGGAGATGGGAACCGGGTTTATCTGTAGTCTGGCGTCTTCACGCAGGGTGCCCGGAGAATGACTGGCCTCTAGGAAAGAGCCCGGGAGCCGAGATGCCTGAGAGGGCCGGGGCCCAGGAGATGGCCCAGCTGGCTCGAGGGCTCGCAGCGAGGAACTGCCTGCTAGCAGCAAAGAGTTAACTAGCGAGGAGTGACTGAGCCTTCCGTCTGCCTCGTTGGAATCCCGGCGCCTCAGTGCGTCTCCCGACCGCTCGCTCTCCAGTGGCCTGGGGCCGTAGGCACGGGGCTGGGCGTGCGTGTGTGCGCGCGCGCGTGTGTGCGCAGCCAGTGAGCCGAGCGGGGCCGCCGGGACCCAGCCGCCCGCCGCCCGCCACCCAGCGCCCTCCTCCCGCCTGGTGTCCCTCCTCCTCTCCGCCGCCTCCTCTCAGCCTCCTCACCTGGCGCTGGCCGCCCGCCGCCTGTCGCCCGCCCAGCGCCGCTCGGCCGCAGCTCCCTCCCCTCAAAGTTTCCTCACAGCAGAAACCTTCTCGAAGAGCTGCCCAGGGAGATAGATTTGTGAAGCTGTGTCTGGGGGTGGCTTTTCTTACAGCACCTCCCCGCCTTGTCCTCACCTAATCCGAGCAGAAAGTAGATTTTCCAAATTAAGGGGAGGAAAGGGGGTGGAGTATTATCTAGAGAGAGACACAAGAGAGGAGCAGCCGCAACAGAGAATTTCCGCTGCTTTCCTGCCTGATGCCGGGGAGCTGACTGAGGGGCCTGCAGGGTTAAAGAACATTCAATAGAAAGCCAAGTTGAGCGAGGACGGCCGGGAGGCTTCCGGAGGCCGGGAAGGTTGTCCGGGTCTCGGTTTCCTCAGGCGTGGAGATCGGGAGGCGCCGCCAGGGCGAGGGCTTTCAGCCGCCATCCCCTCCTAATCCCTCGGGAAGGCAGAGCCGGCAGCGCTGGGGCGGGGGCGTCACGGAAAAGCTTCTGGACCTGTGTGTGCCGCATCCTTGGCTTTGGATTTTAAGGACATGAGACAGAATTAACAGCGTCTCAAGGTAAGAAGCAGCGAAACCGCTGCCCGAATTGCCAGGAAGAATTAACTTAAAATAGATGGTGCGGAGGGGCGGGGGGTTAGCCAAGTTAGGAGCATCTCTCCGGGCGTCGCCGCGCGATGGCACACCGCGCTGACGGCTCGGGTGGGCAGGTCGGGAGTCGCCGGTGCCGGCGCTGCCCAGGTGGGCGGCAGCCAGCCGAAGGGAGTGTCCTCATGTCCTGACCGCACACTTTTTGGAACCTGCTGGAAATAGGTATCGAGCTGGGTCGTCTGTTCAGGCTGACATACAGTGTGGATGCGTGTGTGTGTGTGTGTGTGTGTGTGTGTGGCGAGGCTTTTTTCGTTAGCACTGCAGACCCACCCCCTCGTTGCCATTCAGCACTGTGGGCACTGGCCAGCGCGTCTGGGCCTCGGTAGCCGGTGAGCCTGGCACAGGCGGGCAGGTGAGGGCGGCAGCGGCACCCGGCTGGCCGACTGGGCGTCGCGCGAATCCCACGCCGCCGCCTGGCCGGCTCCCCGCAGCCGGCGTCGGAGCCCGGGCGCCACGGATCTGCTGCTGTTCCCTTCGCTTCCGCTAGAGGCTCTCAGCGGGCGCCGCGGAGCGGGTGGGTGTGGGGGCGCCGGGAGGCGGAGGGCGAGCGCAGGGAGCCAGCGTGCCCGCCGGGTGGCGGAGCGGGCGCGGCAGGGGAGGCAAGCCCGGCTCGGGCGGGGTGCGTGAGCCGGAGTCCCGGCGCGCCTCCTGGCTGCGCGCGGAGAGGCGGGAACGCGGGTCTGAATCCAGGCTGAGCCCAGAAAAGCTGTGCCCTGAGCCGGAGCCACTTCGGGGGTGCTATCCTGGCCCGCGCCCTGAGGGCAGTCCTGGGAGGTAATGTCTTCTTTCTCCACTCTGCCTTCACCCCCGGCTCTGTAAATTCTCTGCCAAATACCCAAGGTGGGAGGGAGTGGAGTGTAGGGGGTCTGTCGGGTCTATATCTAAAGATGCCTTTCAGGCTTGCTCCGTGGATCTCAGTGGAATGTATATTTGAACTAATCCCTAATTTCTCCCGCCTCCCTTGGATATTTGCCTGCTTTAAAAGAAGTTTTCTGCACAGAGTGTCGGGTGGCCGGTCTTTGGGCCAGGCTGTTCCGAGGTGAGCGAGGGGGCCCTCTGTGCTCCGCTGAGCTGCAGTGGACAGAGGTGCGGGACTCTGGGGGTGTGGTATGGTGAAGAAAAGAGTACCACACCCTCTTCTCTTCCTTCTCTTTCCTTTTCACCTGATGATGAGGTCTCACCATATAGCATTTTGCCGATTTCTTTTCCCAAGGGACTGACTCTGAGAACAGAGCAAAGCTGCTGAAAGACTTGGAGAGACAGAGATAAGGATGAGAAGTCATGGCCACAATATGAGGGGAGGAAGGAGGGTGAAGTTAAGCTTGTGCGTAGGGAGTAGGTTGGAGGGAGTGCTGGGAAATGGCCTTGGAGTTCAGATTATTTGGTGAAGTCTGATTCATTTCACATTTCACACTGTCTTTGATATAATTTTGCTCAAGCTACTTATAAAAATTTCTGCAAGGTATTGCCTTGGGCACGGTGGGCACTGAATATGTTTTATGTTTGTGTCTAGGCCAAAGGAAAAAAAAGAGTGGGTATTGTGTGTGCTTGATATGATTACACTGTGGCTGTCAGGCAGCTGGAAGTGTATTTATTTTTTGGAGTGCTGTGTTGTGTTTGTGCATACCATATGTGGTCATTTTACACTCAGTAATGCAATTGCAGAGTCCTCTAAAGGTGGCTATTAACAAACATGACTTGTGATATGAAACCTTCTGCGGAATAATACTGAAGAAAGAAAATATGATGGGGGTATAGAATATTCTAGGAATACTGAATAAAAGCCAAGATCCAGCATTTGTGAAATATTGGGCCACATACTGAAAGAGTGAAAAACATTTTTCAGAAATGAAGCAGTGGTGAACATTTGAAAAGAATAGGATGCTCTTCAGTGTACTATCATCATCATCCAGTAGCTTGCATTACCTCCAATACAGTTAGAGTGTGAGGCAAAAAGAATGAAGCACTTCCTGCTGAAAACCAGTGAAATGTTTGTGACATACTGTCAGGTATTTTGCCTTAAGAATTTAAATGCAACGGGTTGCCTACTGATGGTGACTGAAGTAGTTTGGTTATTGTTTATGTGTAGGGCATCTATTATTTTTGATTAAGGTAAACATGTAAGTTAACATTGTATAATAAGTGTAATTTAGTAGAAGTGGAAGCAGGCCAATTTACTGATGCTTTTCAGTCCAGAAAAAACACAGCATGATCTCAAGGAAGATTTATATAAAGTTTGTCATTCATGTATTACATTCACTAGAAGACAAGAATAAATACTTTGGTATCTCAAAAAGGATGGTTTATATTCTAAAATTATACTGTTTCATAAATTTATAAAGTGACAAAGTAATAGCTACTCATCTACATATAGCTACCTGTAGACATAGATGCAAATTATTTATTTGTTGAATACATAGTAAGGGTTCAATTTTCTTACTGAAAGACACCTCTAGAGCTAGAGGAAGATCTACTAGTATTAAAAATATGTGTATATGATATGTAGGAGATACTGTGTTAATCGAATCAAACTGGTGATGCTGGTTTGTAACCTCAAATTGAGTTTTAGGGCTTCATCTCCAAAGGCGTTTTTTTTTTCTTTTTTTCCTTTCTAATGAATATGATTTTCAAAGAGACCAAATATTGAAATGTTCCAGGGATGCCATGGACCTGGAAACCATTTGAGTCCTCTGAAACTTCATGTCAAGAATAAGAAGTGATAGGATGTTGTCACAAATTAATTGTGCTTGATGCTTCGGTTAAAAACTGATTATTGTCTGTCTCTGGTAGTCATTATGGTTGATTTCATTTGGTCTCTAGATATTCTGTGAAAGGACTGTAGGTGGAAATGTTTTCCTGTAGTACAAGGAGAGGAGGTCACTATATGTAAAAAAGCTTGTCAGTTCATGATTCCCCAGCTTGGTTGCATTTTATCCATAAGGCAGCATGCTAGATTAAAAAAAAATCCTTTTTCTGCATTTGCATGAATATTTCCCTCTTTGTCATAGCTATCAATGTATGGGTACATTATTTATAATTTTGATAAGGAAATATGTCACCAAGCCCCTTCCCTTTACGATATAGAGGCTACTTTGGTGTTAAGAACCTTAAAAACTATTTAATCATAAACGATTATATTTCCTGAAAGAATATCAGTGAGCTTAAAAAAAGATGTTTGATAAGGAATGAAAGGAGAATAGGAAAGACAGGTTAAATACCAGGCAAAAGGTCTACCTATCTAACTGCATGTATTTCTGTGGTTTTTTCTTTCAGCAACCATTTTTGTCTGTTTAAAAAATCTCCCTTTCTCCCTTCCTTCCTCTATCCCTCTCTTCCTCTCTCTCACTCCCTCCTTTCTTTCATTATTTTATTATCTTTCTCTCTCTTTTGGTTAAAATATTTTTTTTCCGAATGAAATCCATGCCAAATTATAGGTTTTTCTTTTTCTTTTTCCTTTTACAATTATCAGTCCATAATTATTGTTAAATGGGAGGTAGTTTTAAAATATTGATTGTTCCCTTTATTTTTAAGTGTTACACAGTAAAAACCCACTAGAATGTGGGGTTCAATTTTTAGAGAATACATGTCATCAGTTGATTGTTATCTCTTATGTTATGAATGCCTCTTGTGTCTGGTTGCAACTCCACTGAAATATTTCTGGGAAACATACAAGAATGGATAATAGTCACTGGAGATGGAAGGCTGCCTTGAAAAATGGTGCATTTGTGCTTTAAGTGACTTTTTCCGTGTAGTTTATACTCTCTCCATGTGCATATGGCCAATGTAATCAAGTCTGAAATGTTCATATTAAGCAAATAGTTGAGTCACACTTGTCTGTATATACCTTTTTAGAAATTAGTAATCCATTTTAGGAAACCCTTAAGTCCATCTAACTCTTAATAAATGTAACATTTTTTTTTCATTGTCACTCTGCAAGTGCGATTGATAAATGGTTCTTAAATGTCCTCAGGGAGAATACCTAGTGTCCAAAATCTCCCAAGAGAAATGAATTCAATGCCACCAGGAGGCAATGTGAATAAGTAGAAAAATCATTGAATTTGGTATCAGAAGACCTGAGTTCTACTTCTCTCTTACCACCAATGGTGTCACTTTAGAAAGCTCTCTTATTTTTCTAAAGTTTCGGTGTTAAATTCTGTAAAATGGGGAAATTGAATATCTCCCCACTCTCTTCTTGTATTTAAAATAGAACCACACCAAGGTTAAGCTTTGGAAAAAAGAAAATCAAAACTTTTAGGTGCCAAGTAAATGCAAGGCATTGTAACACATGATGGAAAACTAAATGAAATGTATCTCAAAAATACCTGTAAAACTTCCATAATGAAGCCTGGATGTTGATATTCCTTTGATGAGAGGGTTTTTCTGGAGGAGCTATTAACAAGTGTCATGAAAGTAAAATTTAAATTAGTGTGTGTGTATGTGAAATTATTTTCTCAAAGTTATTAATATAGCACAAACTGAAGCTTACTGTGTGAGACATAAAAAAGGCTATCTGGGCACTTGAGCAGTTTTTAAAAAATTGTGATGATGAAGAGGAAAAAGAAAAGAATAGAATATTTTTGAATAATAAAACAAATGCAGTCCCTTTTTTTTAGCATTCTACATTTTTCTTTTTGAGTATACTTAGTATGACACAAATAGCAATTGCCAATTATTATTGTCATATCAGTTACCCGTTTTCTGTGAAAACTTAAAAAATATTTAGCTTTTGAAATGTTGATGCAATGGTTTAACTTGTGAAGTTGGACACAAAACTAATACAATATAGTAGTTTTTGCAATGGAATTTGATGAGGAATGCCTATAGTTTATTTGTCTAATTTTAAATACTAATTATATAATTTCAGGTTATTTTTATCAAGTGAATTAGTAAGAAAGTAAATGGTAGATATT